GCTACCGCCACCGTCCTTCGAACTCCTGGCGCCGTGATGCGTGCTACTAGTAGTCCCGGGTTTTGGTAAAGCACTTTGGCGCGGTTGGGTTGTAGGCATCTCTCCACCCTACTCTCTGTGGAATGTTGCAGGTCTATGTTGATCAGCAGCGAGCATCCGAGATTGTGGTTGTATCGACTCGAGATGGTGTGGAACCTGTGCATTGGCGCCGTTACACTCGGTAACCTGGTTTCCTGCATGCCGATCAGGTGAATCGGCATGTCCTTGAGCTGGCGATTGATGGCCTCGATACTAGGGATCGTGCGGTGCTGCTTCCTGCCGGTGTGAGGTGGTTCAACTGTTGTTGCTGCAGTGGTTTGTAGTCCATAGGTGGTCTGTTTGGGGTATGCTTTCTTCGCTCCTTGTCGTCTTGGTGCAGCCATTCCCATTGCCGCTGGCTCTGTGCGTCGAAGAGTTCGGCCCATTCAGGTTGCGGGTTGTGGTCAGCACGATTTGCCGTTTAGCGACAGAGTTTGTAAGTTCATTCCACGGGTGGTTTGCATGGGCATAGACATGGTCGGTATGGAGGTCGGTTGATGTTGTTGCAAGGTCGTGTAATTGCTTGGCTATGGCTTACAAGTCATGGTTGGTTCGTGCGCTGCACCGTCATTCAGCAAAGCTTGTTGCCACCTTGGAGTCGGTGTGGACCGATGCTGGAGCGTCGCCATAACGTGTCGTTCTGCGCATAGATCCAGGCACAAGCCCATATGAGAGCTGCCAATTCTAGCGTAGTAGACGTGGTTGTGCCGTAGACGCCGATAGATGCAGCACTTGCGGTTGTGGTTGCCATTGTGCCAAGGTGTGCGAAGCCTTGGCCATTTTGTGCATCAACGACGACGGCCCATGCACCCCTTGTTGTGCCGGCTTGGTGCGTCCCATCGGTGCAGGGGTGAATCCGTTTGATGTTGCCCGTCTGTCGTGGTGGCGCAAATTCCACCGCCATGGTAGCAGTTGGGTGGAAACGTTATGGTTATCGTTGGTTTGGGAAACAGGCAACAAGTCGTGGTAGGGAGGTGCGTCGTAAGATTTCAGCGAGCGGTTCCGTTACATTGAATGTTGATCGAACCGTGGGTGTCGTCTGCCGTCCGTGGGAGTAGCGCTCCTGCTGAGATCCCTCTCGCATGGAGCGGGGTCGATCAGCGGTGGGGCGTTGTCCAAGATGGTCCTGAATAGCTGCAGCCTGCTGAGCGCCAGCTGTATGTGTACCCAGTGTAGAGCTTGGGATGCTGTCGGCGCCGTAGCTGTGACCTGTAGTTTTCCCTGCGGTCTGGTCCTGGAAGTTGGAGTGGGTGGCCCTCATCCTGTACTCCTTCTCGTCGGATTAGTTGCTCTTGACTCTGGCTCCGTGCCCTTTCGGTATGGTCGGTGTGCGTTAGTTCCGTCGTTAATGGTGGGCTCGTGAGTCGCCGTGTGTTCATTACGTCGTCTCCGTGGCTGCCACCCTGAATGTGTGGGGTGACATTAGGCAGTGCAATCCGTCTGAATGGTGCCATAGCAGGTCCCTTGATGGAGGTTGGGGCGCGGGGCGCCTCTGACTGAATTTAAATTCAGTCGCTAGGTTGTGTCGGGTGAAACGTGTGTGAGTTACGTGCCGCTTTCGGTCGGCTAAACCAGTCTGGGTGTACGCCGTGGTCGCGTGGTGCTCCAAACTCATCGTCGGCAGCGTGAGCTTTGTGTAGTTCCGCGTTGCCGTGTGGCTGTCAGTAGCCAGTTGGGGATGCGGCTCCAGTAAGATGAGCCGCGTCGTCGCCGGATGGTTCCTCCGTCAGGTACGGGACGATTTGCATCGGTGCGCTGGCCCTCCTGGCGTTCGAGCTTCTCGTTGTTGGAGCTGCGTGCTTGCGTTCGGGTGGTAGGGATGCCCCTCTCCCTGGTGTACCAATCAGGATCCTGTGTGGTGATTGCGCCTGCGGGGTCATCTCTGCGATGGTCGTCAGGTCGTCGTCCCTCGTCTTCGGTGGCGATGGCGCGTCCACGATCACGACATCTATAGCTTTCTTCCCCTGCACTGGAGATAATGATGCCAGGTCAGTCTCGGCGTCGGTGTCGCGACGATCTGACTGTCCCAGCGGCGGCGGTAGTGATTTCGGTGTCCATGCATTCTCTGTAGTTGGGGGCGGCGTGACGCACTCTTAGCTCCCAGGTGGTAGTTCCTGTGTGTGTGCTGCGTGTCGGGGCTGTCGAATGGAATTGGTGCTGCCGGTGGTTGTGTTGTTGATGTTCTTCTGGCAATTAATTGCACGCCCAGGTGGTACTGCGCCGGGGTGGCCACATTTACAGTGAGATAGTTGGCCTCCCTGGCTGCCTCGTCGCTTTGTGTCTGAGTAGGTTGCGTAGCACCTTGAGTCGTACCTTGCGTGGGCACTGGCCCTACCCGTTACATGAAGGTCACGATCGTTTTGTTGTCGTTGGCGATCGCAGTAGATAGAGTCTTGTCGAGCTGGTCGAGCATCTCGACTTGTGACAGGCATTGTAGTGCATGAGCGGTGGCTTGCTGGGCGTAGAAGTACTCCTGATAGGCATCCTCTGTACGCTGCGCGTGTCATGTCATTCCCTCCATGCTGTTTCTTTTTGATTGTACATGCCAGTCTCGTGCTGGTGGTCCTTGCCCTGCTGGTGGGAGCCGATCCCCATTCGTTGTAGAATGAATTGGAGTTGACCTTTCGCTTGAGCGGCATGTTGTTGCGCCTGCTCCTGGCACTCGCTCATGTGTCTGACTGCCATGCTCAACTGTTGTTAATGTTGTTGGGATTGTTCAGCATCTCTGGCTCGAAACTGCCGCTCGATCTCGGTGGCTCTTTTTTGGGAAGTGGCCTCCATGCGTCTTTCATGGTCTTGTATTTAGATGTGTGTTTTGCGGAACAGGTTGTCGGTGTTGCATTTCTGTTTGTTGAGTTCCTACTTGTTTGTTGAATTGTTCGAATATATGGGCTTCCATGGTCAAGATGTGGTGTTCCGCCGCCTTCATCTTGTTGTAGTAGGCGTCCCTTTTGGCAGTTGTCTTCCCTGCCAATAAGACGTATTGCTGCATGGAGTTGTGATTGTGTTCGTGACGCTCAATTGTTGCTGTGGTTTGTTCAGCTTGTTCCCGATTTCACGATGTACGCCATATTGGGAGGTAGTATCTTCTTCTGGAGGTCGGTATTGGTGTGCTTAATGTTTTTAATTTCCTCCTCGGCGCCGTAGAGCTTTGTTGTGACTCGTCGTTGTAGAAGTTCATGGTGTGTGGTCATCTTGTCCTGGGTGTTCATGGCGGTGACGAGCTCCGCCGTTAGTTTCTGGTTGGCTCGTTTGGAGTCGTTGGTGCTGTGATTCCGCTTCTTCCGCTCGTTCTCGACATGGTCTTCGACGCCTTGTGGGTGTTGTCGTACTTCGAGCAGTTCGACCACAGCCGCGGCTGTTTTCCATTGATTTGTGATTTTGATATTCTTCCATTCTTCTCTGAGCTTGGAGTCGTTCGTTGGTGTCACCCAGTCGGGTCTTCTGGCAGCGTAGACCTTGCGCATGGGCATGACGTTGTCGAAGGTCCTGGCGAGGTGGTTGTAGTCCTGGCTGGCCTCGTGCTGCTTCTTCTTGGCAGGGGGAATCCTCCCCTCCTGTTGGGCCGCTGGTTCCCCTTGCCACTCTTGTCTTTCTGCTTACCCTTCTGCGGGATGTGGTTGTCGTCGGTGTGGTCGTCGTACGGCTTGGGGGAGTTGCCTTTGCCCTTGCTGTTGTTGCTTTTGCCCTTGCCGCTAGTGCCATTGCTCCAGTAGGTGTAGGGATGTTGGACTGCTCAATGTGCCGTTCCTCCATCTGTCCAACCTTGCGCCGATCGCAAGTGTGGTGGATCGCGTAGGTGGGCTCTTGTTCGGGGCATTGCTCGACGTTGACTGCCACGGTGCTGCCATTGTTGGAGCTTGAGGTGGATGTCGTGGTGGTTGGTGAGCACTGTGATGTGCTTCGAGTAGCTGTCGTGATTCAGCAACCCGTACTAGTATTCGGGCGTCGGCGCGTTCTTGACGCAGTCGTGTGTGCCAGACAGGTGATCTCGATCTTGCCGTGGGTGACGGCATGGTCCCGCACATGGGACGAGAAGAAAGGATCAGGTTGTCGGTGTAGGCGTACATCGCGGCGTTAGAATGGCAGCGTTGGCCGCCGCCTCAGCCCTTGTGTGGGACGAATAGTGCGGGATAGGGCGATTGCAGCTCTCTCCCGCCTCCTCCTCCTCCTCCTCCTCCTCCTCCTCCTCCTCCTGCTTCTCCTCCTCCTCCTCCTCCTCTTCTTCTTCCCCCCTCCTCCTCATCCTCCTCCTCTTGCTACTCCTCCTCTACAAAGGCGATCCCTAGACCTGTCCTGGGGTGCGTTCTGGCTAGACTTCCGGGGAGTCAAGCCGTGGCAATAAGGCGCTCAAGCGGGCCTGAAAAAGGCGCGAGACCATCGAACCTCGATCAACCACTTCCTCCTCTCCCCCTGCTCCCCCTTCGTGATTGGCCATGGGAGACATGAAAAAACAACAAAAGTACGAGGAGGAGACCAGTAGCAAGCAGTCAACAGGTGGCAGCCAAGACGCACGCTGCAGGCAAAGGGGTAGAGGAGCGAGGAGGCGGGAGGCAGGAAAAGCAGCAGGTGCCCCAAAAAGCCCAAGTCGGTTAGCGGATTGCCATTTTGGGGCTCTCAAAAGGGCGCTGCGGCCACAACTGTTGCAGGCCCTGCGCCCGCCTGGCCTGGTCCCAGGTCGCTGACACTAAAAAATATGCTGCTCAAGGTTGGGGGCGTCCGAGGGGGGTGGGGACTCAGGGGGTGGTGTGGATACCATGGCCGAGGCCATCAAGTCTCCCAGAGTGCATGACCCCCTCTCCTTCTCCACCTTTCGATGCGTTCCCTGGCGCCCCCCTCTTGGACGCACCCGAGAAAGGGGCGGGCGCCCACCCCAGGAAAAAACGAAGTGCCCACCCCTTTTCCGCCGGCAGCGCGCGGAGGCCGCCATGGGCGAGCCGCCGAGCAAGAGGCCGCGCGCTGAGCCAGGCCCAACCGCCGCGCGATATGCCTACCCGTGCACTGGTCCCCCCTCGAGGAGGCGCTGGTCTCAATCGCTCGCTCCCTCCCCTTCCTCCTCCTCTCTCCTCCCGCCTCCTCCCTCCTCCGTCCTCCCTCCTCCTCCCCTCCTCCTCCTCCTCCTCCTCCTCCTCCTCCTCCTCCTCCTCCTCCTCCTCCTCCTCCGTCCCGTCATCATCATCCTCCCTCCCTCCTTCCCGCCCGCAGCAGGGCGCCCGAAGCCCTCCCTCGCCGCAGGTCTTCGGGAGGGGCCCCGTGCGGTTGCTAGCAGAAGCGCCTCGTCGAGAGTACTCCAGGGATGTCGGGAGCGCGCAGCGGCCCGAGTCGTGACTCCCCGAAGAGCAGACGACGGGGACCGCGCGTCCGCAGTTCGATTGGTGAGCGCTCCTTCGCGCAGTACACCTTAGGCGATGCTTAAGAAAACTTATTTTTTCGGCCAGAGTCTCGATGATTCTTAATGTTTCAACGTAAATCCCAAGATTTTAATAGAAATGTTGGGTTTTTATTTAACTTCTGAGACCATGAATTTCTGAACCCATGATTTCTAAAGCATTTCGCAGGGTGTATGCTTGGTTAGCGGTTCTGTTCGTGGGCCCAGGCGCCTGCACTGCGGGAGTCCATCCCCTTTTTCTCATTCGTTCGGAGCTGCACAGGGCGCACATGAGCTCCAAGGGCGTCTGCGGTTCGCAGTCGGTCTCGCTCAATCGACCCGTCTGATGCCTTCGGAGGTTGCACTGGGGGCCTCTCTGAGCCATCCTGGGGCGCTCTGGAGCCATCTGGGGGATTCTCGTGGGAAGGCTCGGGGTCCCCTTGGGACTCTATTCGCCCATTTTCGGGCCATCGTGAAGCTTCCGAGACCAATCGGAAGCGAAAAGGAAAGAAAACAAAAATCAGGTGCTTCCGTTCAGCTGTCACAATATTTGGGCCTTTCAAGCAAGGCTCCGTGGCCACTTTGAGCCGTCTTGGGCCGGTATTGAGGTCTCTTGAATGTATCTTGACAGCTATCTTGCTTGGAGGCTTGTGGTAGGCAGGGCTGGTGGCGTCCACATTTCCGTCGTACCACCGGGTGCCACACAAACTTTGTTGTTGTGGAGTTGGGTGAGGGGCCGACGGCGGCCGACTGCGCAGTCGGGGCGGGGGCGATTGACAGTGCAAGGCCGCGCGGGTCCCCCCTGACTCTAAGAGTGGCCGCCTTCCGCCTTCTCCGGAGGGTCTCGGCTCAAAGGCATAACGGCGCGATTTGCCAACGAGAGCCTTGTGGAGAGCTTTGTGGAATATGAATATATTTATATATCTATATACACACACATACAACAACAAGTGGGTGTGGCAATGCACCACTACACCGACGGCACTTGGTGCGTGGAGCGCGCATGCACGGCATTATGTGCCTGGTTATGTTGGGTGTGGCTTCACCGGCAGATTGGTTGGAAACTCGATATGCAGAAGTCGCATCTGCCAGCCAGCGTGTGGAGGCTGCTCGGGGCGGAACTCACCGCGGACGTCCCCCAGCCCACTGCTCGGTTGCTGGATCAGAAAGCAACAGCCTTGATCTGCGACATCGAGCACTACCTGCAGAGCTGCCAGTTGCCAGCTGCAGAAGCGGGTTCCCTCAAATGCCGCTTGAGGGGGGCACGGTCGTTTTTATTTGGCCGCTACGGTTCCGCAGCGCTGGTGCCATTGAGGCGTCGGCAGTTCGATAGCAGCGGGCGGGCTGGCACGCCGCCGTCCCTCAGTGCCTCTCTGCGTTGGTTTTGGCACGCTGTGGACGAACAGTCAGGCCGCGAGGCCCCCTTCGATCTCGAATCGCGGCCTCTCGTTGTGACAATAAGTGACGGCGAAGGCACGGGGCGAGTCACAGCGGGCATTTGGAAGCCTCGTGAACCAGATTTTCGGCCGATGCTCACCGCCACTGCGGTGCCAGATTCTTGGATGCAGCTGCGAGTAGGGCAAAACCGTGTCAACGCCATGCAAGAGATCAAGCGGAGGGCCCTCTACTGGCGCTAGCTACGTGGCCGTCGTTTTTGCAGAAGTGTGTTTGGTTTCATTCCATCGACATCGAGTCAGCGAAGTACTCGTTGATAAAGGGCTCGTTAAGGGCAGTCCACACGAACGAAATCGCGCACGATACCTGGGAGCAGCGCCGGTCTAGATGCATTTACCCGCGGCGGGAACTGGTGGCCTCAACATATAGCCCCGTCGACATAACTTCGGGCGGAGATCTCACCGACCTCTACGAGCAGCGGTGGGTCGTTGTTGACCCGGCGCTGCTGGACATCTGGAGGCGGGATTCAGGCCGGGGCTTGGCTCGGGCAGATCACGAATGTGATTGTTTGGGCCCGACTGGTGACTGGCAGCCTCACTTGCCAACGACAGCCCTGCGAAACATATACACAGGGTGACGGCGTGGATTCCAGACAGGGCCCGGCTCAGCGCAGGCGCTGTTCAGATGGGGGTCGGGAACTGCGCGGGCCCCAAGGGAGACCATTTAAGCGCAAGGGATGTTTCGTAGTCGGGCGCCGCCGTCGTCGTCGCCGACGTCGTCGTCTCCCGCCTGCCCCCCTTCCCCCTGCCCCCCCCCCCCCCCCCCTGGCAGCAGCAGACAGGAAGTGCGCGGACGACGAGAATATTTTACAGGTATGTATATATAGCCATAGCGCGCTACGTTGTACCGGGTTGCGCTACATTGTGATTGGGTAGTCTTGTAACCAACCAAACCAGTCCGAGGCCTTTTGCGGCCTTCTGGGGAGCTTTTCTCCTCGAGCAGGCGAGGGGGCCCGAGCCCCCCCCCACTACCCCCCCTTTCCGTTTAGCCGGCTGGGTTGCCAGCGAGCCAACTTTCCAGATGTCCAGCGAGGCACGGGGCCATCAGAGGCCCGCCGCATCGTCGACGAAGCCTCCTCTTACCTCCTTCTCTTTCCTGCCCCCCCCCCCCTTACCCCCCCCCCCCCTCGCAAGCCGGTTCGGCTTGCAGCGTGGCCTGCCGCCCCCAGGGGGCCGAGGCGGCACGGCGCGAACCGTCGGCGATGCAAGGCGCCGGGGCGCACGCTGCACGCCGGCCCGGGGCTTGATGGGGGGCGGCCAGATCGAGCCGCCGCCGAAGTCCGCGCCGCCCAATCTTGACATTGTCAGAGGCCGAGGTTGGAATGAGGAAGAGACGCGGCCGCCGCCGCGGCGGCAGACATCCCGCTCAGCCAGCCGCGGGGCCAGACCTCCGAACACCGAGGGCAAGAAAGGCTACGCAGTACAAGGTGCGCCCGACATGCCCGACGGGCAGTGGCAAGTGGGCCCATTGCAATCGCGCTGGCAAGTCTGGCTCGACAAACTGCAAGACGCGCGGACACGCGTTGGAAGCCAGCCGCGCTCAATGACAACGCTGGAAGCGACAAGCAGAACGCGACCAACAGCGCCATGGTCGATCTTCTCCCGACGCAGCGCTTCCAAGCGAAAAGAAATGGCGACCAGACTAAGACGGATGATCGCAGCCAAGAAGACCCCCCACCAGCACCAGCTGAACCAGTTAGTTGTACTCTCCACAGGTCAGAGGCTCCAGCAGGCGGTCGCCGACCTCAACGGAGTGCAGAAATATCAGGACATGATTGGCCAAGCAGCAGCAGCGCGCCACCGAGTACCGAGACGACGTGCTCCGCGAGATCAGCGACAACATGGTGGAGCTCGCAGAAGCGAAACGAGTTTTCAATGGCGCCAAGGCTGAAGACGGCGAAGCAGCAGATCAAGCAGGCCTGACTCACGCCAGCATCCAGAAGCCAGGGGAAGATGACGAGCTCTCTACACTCGCGCAAAAGGAAGTCGAGATATTGGACACCACGCAGAAGCAGGAGCACGAAAACACATAGGCCGAGTTCCCGAAGGCGCGCAACGTCATCTCCGAGAAGACCGAGGCAGTCCAGAAGGCCAAGAGGGCGCCCGAGGGCACACAGAAGATCCGCGCGACTGCCCAGGCAGCCGGGAAGCGCAGAGGAGAGGCCGGAGCCCAGCCAGCAGGAGGAGCTCCAGCAGCAGACCAAGAACGAGACGAAGTGGCTGCCAGCGAAGCACCCCGAACCTGCGGACCCAGAGATCTCCCTGGCCAACCAGTTCAACCTCTCCGAGCCCGACCAAATCCAGAACTACCACAAAGCTCGCGAAGGCGAAGGCCCGAACGCAGGCTACGACCGCCTCGAGGCGGCCAGCAACAACGGGACCACAGGAGACCTCACTTGAACATCTGCCTGGAGAACGAACGACCCAACCGTATGCATCTGTGAATACCGTCGCCGTTAGCGTCGCCGTCGGTGGACCTCCGTCCGGGGCCAAGAAGCGCGTGAAGGGCGTGCCGAAATGGGGCGGGGCCGCCACACGGGCGCCGCTACTGGGGCCTCATGTCGAGTCCCCCTGTATGGGGCCACAAAACGTGTGAGGGGTGTGCCGAAATTGGGCGGGGACGCCATGCGGGCGCTGCCACTGAGGCCTTCGGTGAAGTTCCGCATGGGGCCACGAAACGCGTGAGGGGCGTGCCGAAAGGGGGTGGCGCCGCCACGCGGACTGCGCCATTGGGACCTTGCGTGGAGCTCCTTGTGGAGCCACGAAACGTGTAGGGCGTGCCGAAATGGGTCGGCGCCGCCATGCGGACTGCGCCATTGGGACCTTGCGTGGAGCTCCTCCTGGGGCAACGAAAAGTGGAAGGGGCGTGCCGAAATGGAGCGGCGCCGCCTTGCGGACTGCGCCACTGGGACCTTAGGTGGAGCTCCCTCTGGTGCCACGAAACGTGCGAGGGGCGTTCCAAAATGGGGCGGCGCCGCCGTGCGGACTTCGCCACTGGGTCCTTAAGTGGAGCTCCTTGTGGGGCCACGAAACGTGCAAGGGGTGCGCTGAACTGGGGCGGCGCCGCCATGCGGACTGCGCCACTGAGACCTTAGGTGGAGCTCCTTATGGGGCCACGAAACGTGCGAGAGGTGTGCCAAAATGGG